CCCCCCCGCTTGTGCTTTTATTACTGATGCTTATGCCATAGGTTTATAGTATCCTTCGCCATGTTGCTGAAGTTTTGGAATACACAAAGGATGAGCAGCTGGAGAGCCTGTTCCAGAGAACTGCTTGGGTGTTTGATGACAAATATAAAAGGCCTGGATATGGTGCCTACGATGCCTTCAAGCATGCAGTTTCGTAAGTATATACAGCTTTCCCAGCTTGTGTTCTGCCTCCTCTCAAAGAGCTAGGATAAGTTATTCATTTATATGCCCAGATATTTTTTTCTCACTAAAAATGTGTGCGTAGCAAGCTGCCTTTAAAATGGTAGCTTAAAAGGACAGGCTCCCCACCACCACTATGTCTAGTTAATAACTTGCAGTGCTGGGGTTAAGACATATCATTACTACTTGTGCTAGTCGCATTGTAACCTGATACCAAGGCTGGAGTAAGACTGTCATGAAGAAAACTGGTTATGCAGCCCAAATTGTTATAGTGCTTTTTCTCATGTGCTTCTTTTGTCTCTTTGGTTTATTCCCTGATTTCCGCACATTCTTTAGTACCCTTAGTTTTCACTTTGGTTTCCTCCCCCTCCTCTGTTTTTTCGCACAGCTCTTTTGCAACCACTTTTACCCCGATCTTTTTGTGGAAGCTGATTTTGAGGGTTTTTTTCCTAGTGCATGATGTTTCTCTTGGCTTTCTTTGTCTTGCCCGTTCCCACCCACCTCTGGCCCATTTTTCAATGACTGGACTGTCATAGTTGTTAAACCACTACCTCCCCCACAGACAGTTATTTCAATTTTTTAAATTGCTAGAATGCTATAGCATTGTAAGTTAAATAATTATAGTTAAATAATTATAGTTTAAGCAGGTTTTCTGAATTCCCAGCATTGATTTTTAAAGGAGTAAGTCTTTAGCTTTTTCCCATGGTGAGATAAAAGACAAAAGGCATATCTCTGCAAGGAAAGGAGCTAGAGACTTTGTTTTTTAATGAAAGCTGGGAATTTAGAGAACCTGCTTCAATTACTATTATTACAGCAATACTTCAGAGCTGTTTGCTTTTTTAAAGGGGGTTGATGCCACTGATAAGAACACCAATTTCATAGTTAAGACTATATTTCTCTTTCTCTCAAGGTTGTTTTGTTGTTCCCTAGTGTTTAAAAGGATGAACTAACAACTCTTTTTGTCTTTTTCTTTGCACCACACATGATTTCTGTAGTTTCTGGAAAGCTATATTATATATTTAAGGAATAATGGTAAACATTTATGACATCTGTTTAATCTAGGGATCCCGCCATCCTTGATGGGCTAGACTTGACAGAAGATGAGAAGCGTGTGCTAATTGACAATATTAATAGGCGTCTTACTCCACAAGCAGTCAAAATTCGAGCTGGTAGGTCCCACAATCAAAATTATTTAGAACAAGCTCATACTGTTTTATGGACAAACATTCTGGCAATAAACAAAATGGCTTACTTTTTTTTACCTCAGAAGACCTGAGTTCTGCTGTTTGCTACATAGTATTTTAGATATATTAGCTAAATTACAGGTTTCTGACTTGCTTAACATTGAACCAGTAATTTGAAATGGTGTTTTATCAGATTAGAAATACTTCTAGCAAACACTTGCACTCTTCTTGGAGTTTAAGCCTCAGGCAAAAAGCCATACATTTTATTTAGCTTTATTCTGATTTCCTTTTTGGGAACGGGGCTGTGATGGATGGGCAGAGGTCTTGCCCCTTTCTCTCAGTCAGTGGTCCCCTGTAAACCTCTTTGATGTATGAGCAGACCAGCCCACAGCCCATCAAGTCCTATGAAATTCTGGAGGAGCCAGCAAGATGTGGAAATGTGGCTATGATCTTGCATGACTTCTGATCATTGTTTTGTAGTTCACTGGGCCCCTTGCATGTCTAAAGGTGGATACTGGATCTGGATAGGTTGAAGACTGCTGCTCCTGAGGATAGTAGCTGCGTGTAGGGCAGGCTGAAAATAGAAAGAGATCCCATAAGGTAGGTAAGTGAAGAGACAGGGAGACAGGCAGCAAAGTGGCTAAAGGAGTTGGCTGTGGACTGAGAATCGGTAGCACAAAGTTAGGGAAGGTAAAGGAAGCTTGAAGAAAAAGGCAGAGGAAGCAGGGAACTGAGACAGAGTGCTGATAAGAGGTGACAAGTAGGGTATGAATTTCACAGTGGCTTGAACCTACTACTGCAAAAAGATTTAGTCTGTTTTCTAGAGTTTTTGATATCTTGTAGAAACAGCAACTTAATGTGTATATGTAGAAAAAGCACTTATAAGCAATACTGTGAGTGAAAGTGAGCCTGTTGTAGTACAAATTATACATTGCCAGGGAGGGATGCCGGGGACCCTGTTTCAGTGCTTGTGCACCAAAGTGCCTTTTAAGAGAAAGCCTAATAGAGACTGGCCCTAACTAGCTGATGAGTAGCTGGGATGCAGCCTTGAGCCAGGGGTGGGGAAGCAAGGAGATGAGTTGCCGCTGGGATGTGGGGTGGAGACAGCTTTCCACCGGAATTACTCAGATCCCATGGGAGTTCCAGAAGGGTGAAACTTCCATAGGCTGACCCCAGGACAAACCAGAACTGTGGGAGCGTACACAAGTCCCCCTGCTGGCAAGGATCTGCTGGAGCCAGGCAGGACTTCTACAGCTTATTTAGGCTATTTATATACCTGCCTTTCTCCTAAGCGTGACAACCCCCAAGAATTACTTTATTTCATTTTAGCTTCAAGTGTGGTACAAATACTGGATGAAATGACAAAATCAAGCTGTTTGGTTGGATTGTGTTAAAATTATTTAGAAGTGTTTGTTTTACATTCATAGTTAAATCAGATTTTAACATTTCTTAAGGAAATGCTGGAATTTCCATAAAATTTTACACAATGTGTATGATTAGTTCAAGGCTAATAATGATGTTATGTAAGATCAGTCTTCTGCTGCAGTTACTAGTTGGATGTTACATATCATTAGGAATTTGGGTGGCAGGCAGGTTGAGGCTAATCCTGACATGTCTGCAGCTTCACAATTAATACCAGAAAGGGGTGTTGCTTGGTGAATCAACAGGTTACAAGTAGGATGCAGAGACTTTGTAGCTCTCAGCTTTGATAAGAATATCTCCCTCTTACTAAATAAGTCTGGAGATAACATTGTCATTCAAATTTCAGGTAATGTGATTACTACTGATTACCTACTAAAGTTTTTGTACTGAGAGCTGTTTGCTATCGGAGGAAAGAGAGCCAGTTTGGTGTAGTGGTCAAGAGCACGGACTCTAATCTGGGAGAACTGGGTTTGATTCCCCACTGCCACATGCAGCTGCTGGTGTGACCCTGGGTCAGTCATAAGTTCTTTCAAGGGCAGTTCTAGAGAGAGCTCTCTCAGCCCTACCTACCTCTCAGGGGAGGGAAGGGGATTGTAAGCTGCTCTGAGACTCCTTCGGGTAGTGACGGGTGGGGTATAAATCCAATCTTTTCTTCTTAAAATAGGGATGGTTACCATATTTCCAAATTCTTCCTAAAGGTGGGGGGGGGTTAGTACTTGCCATGGTTGTGGAAAGATTAATGAGAAACTGTATCTCTGAAATAATGATTCTGGCAAGTAAAAAAATTCACCAAAAACACCTGTGTTTACTTGAAGATGTATGGTTTGGTCCCTGGATAACCGTTTTACTGCAGTTTCACAGAAGCTTGGAGGAGTTGGGAAGACAGAAGATTTCAGTCAAAAGAAACTAAGGGTTGGCATAAATAGAAGGCCAAGAGTGGGCTTGAGAAAATTAGGGGAGCAGGAAACAGAATTGGGTGACCTAGGAAAAGAAGAGTACAGGAAGAAGAGGGCCAAGGGTGGAATAGATAAAGAATACTGGACTGGTGGAAAGAGGAGGTAGTGGTGGCTGGAAATGCCAATTGTCAAATGCATAGGGTTTGTAGTGAGGGCTGTTTGCTATTGGAGGAAAGGGGCATGATTGACTCAATTTCTGTGCAAGTATTCTTGCTACCTTCTGGTTGCTGTGCATTTCTATTTGGAAGAATCCTGACCATACATATGAGCCCTTTTGGGGATGAATTTTGTAAGAAGGCATGAATTTAGAATAGAACAATTATGTTTCTGTGAATGGTTGTTTGCTAGCTTCCATTTGTATATAAATTTCTTAATATAACGGGAGCAAGCCTAAGCAAGTCTACTCAGAAAGTCCCATTTTAGTCAGTGACGCTTACTTGCTTTAAAGAGGATTTCTTTAAAGAGAATGCAGCTTCCATTCAATGAAGCAGGATTCAGTTTCCCTGATCTTTGTTTTATATTATCAGGCCTACTTGTTAACTTAAACTGATTACTGGGATTGGTCCTTGCAGTTGGACTGTGTATAGCTGAGTGGTAATTTCTAGTGTCGCTTACTGTATTGTATGTATAGAGATTTTAATGAAATCCAATTGTGGTCTCTTTAGATATTGAAGTTGCCTGCTATGGTTATGAGGGTATTGATGCAGTGAAAGAAGCTCTGAGAGCTGGCCTGAGCTGTTCTACAGAGAGCATGCCCATCAAAGTAAGTGGCATCACTGATGTGGGTCCTGCTCTGATACTGGGAGTATGCTGAGTTATTTAGCTTTTGTCTGGTCACTAGTGGCAAGTAGCAGCTGCCCCCAGTAGTTGGAAGAGGCATAACTTGGGATTGTTGCGCAGCATTACATTGGCTGTGCATGCTCTTCTCTCTCCTACTTGCCTGTAGAAACACAGAAACCAGTTGCTCATGGACTCACAGCAGGTGGTGTATACATGTGCAACCAGGGCAAGGTGAGCAGCTGCCTTATCAGCATTGCTTACAAGCCTGCTGCTGTGACCTCTTAGTAATTCCAAATTACCATATGAGTAAGGCCAAAATAACTAATATTTACACAGAAAAGCCTGTCTGGGTCACATGCTACCTGTCTGTAGAATATTAGTGAGAAATGTAGTAGAAACCATTTAATCCGCTTGGCTGCTTTTTAGCACAGATAATGTTGGTTCTGTCCTCTTACCCAAGTGGCAATTACATTCCCACAGATTCCCTCTCCCCCAAAGAGATTAGGATCTGTTTCGGATAAATTGTTTTCCAAGCCTGTCTAAGAGTAGGTGGCACTTCAGTGTACCAGAAAGCACATCCCATCTATTGTCCATTTCACTTTCTCTGCAAGTTGCATAATGGCTGGATGCACATGGCTTTTGTGCTTCCATCTGTTTAGCTGCAAACCTGAAAACTTTTCCTCACAGATCATTTCCTTAACATGGAAAATGAGAAGGCGCTGTCACTTTTAACTTGTAACTTTAAATGCTCATCTTTTAGTACTTCTTTAAGTGTGCAATCATTCTCTATGATAGTTTAAGCAAATGCATCAACACTGGCTTGTTTTTCTTTGAGACATTTAAGTCTGCCATTATCACCTCACCCTTCTTGTAGATAAATTTGATAGCTCCTCCACGATACGTTATGACTACTACAACACTGGAGAGGACTGAAGGTCTTTCTGTCCTCAGCCAAGCCATGGCTGTCATCAAGGAGAAGATTGAAGAGAAGAGGGGAGTGTTCAATGTGCAGATGGAAGTAAGAACCTTTTGTTTGCCTAAAAAATAATGTCTGATCTCAACAATTTTGGTAGGTTATGGAGGTACCACTTTCATGTCCTTCCAACTTCTCAAGACCACAGAACCCATGTAAGGGGGGGCATATGCTTCACCCAGTCTCATACTTTTATCTTTGTTGGTGGCCTGATGTTGGATCATCTAGGAAGATTTAACCCCATGTAGAACCAGGTGGGCTTCATTTTCTGATAGATCCAAGTGGTCAGCCGTGTTGGTCTGAAGCAGTAGAACAAAGTTTGAGTCCACAGTGGCACCTTTAAGATCAACAGTTTATTCAAGGTGTGAACTTTCCTGTGCATGCACACTTTTTCAAAGACATTGGAATGGAAAGTAGATTAGAATGAGAAAATATACCTTTACACATTTATCCTCTATTTTGTCATATTTATTGCTTTACTACCCTTTCCCCCTTAATTAAAGCAAAACAACTGTTGACCTTATAACCTTAGCTTGTCATTTAGTTTTGTCTTTGCATATCTTAAATCATCATCATTTTACATGTTAATTTGCTGTTCAGCCTCTGTTTGAACTCCACCTTCCATTTCAATGTATTTGAAAAAGTGTGCATGCACATGAAAGTTCACACCTTGAATAAGCCTTTGTGGATCTTAAACGTGCCACTGGAGTCTAAATTTGTTCATTTTCTGATGTTCACCTCCATCTTGCATCTAAGAACTGTGAGTAGATCTCACAAAACAGGATTTTCCTGCCTTTCTTGTCCATTTTTTAAAAAATTCCTCAACTGATCTTTGGCTACATGTTAGCTGTCTGTTCCAACATAATCCCCACATTACTTCCTGTGTGCTTCTATGGAAAGTAATTGCAAGCCTGTGTGCCTGTGGAGGAGGGGTGGGGGGAGAATAATTGAGCCCCAGTGCTGATTGTACCTCCCCATGCTGCTGCACCATATGAGGCCACGGGATTGATCATGTGTGAAGTTAACAGTGGTGAAACGCTTGAAATTAACATCGAAACTATTCTCACATTTGCACAGCATTATAACTATAACTTTTAATGGTTTTTATCCTAGAACTATTGCAGGACTAGTATGTCAGTTTGTAGATGTGGTAATAGTTTGTAATGTCTCCTAGAGGGTTGCAGAGTGAGGCGATCTTGCTATTGGGTAATGGGCATGATGCAATTGAAAATGAAAGGCAGCATCTGTCAGTTGATGTTAAGCCAATTGACTTGCATCCTAACACTACAGCTCTTATTTTAAAGGGGAGACAGAGACCTTGCACAGCTCTACAATTCTAAAATTGCTAAATGCTTCCTAGTTTTAAAAAAATGGGTTGTATCCAAAGGTCATTGTCCACTAACAGAGGGCATTTTGTTTGACCAAACAAGGAGATATTGGTGACATGATTTTTGCTGATTCTCCTTGCCAATTACAGATCCCATTTTGCCCGTCCCCCACTATACCTGAGGATCCCCCTCCCCCAGTGCATTTTGGGGCTAATTGGGACATGGGAAAAGTTTTGTTCCTTCTGGGGAGCTTTGCTACAGTACTTCAGATCCAGCATGTTGTTTCTTGCTTCAGAACGTTGCAGTCCCATGCTGAATTCTGGATAACCTTTACTTCAAAATGGTGTGGCTCCTTAAGCATCCTATACTGTACTATACCATTACAGTGTCCCTTTCCACTATTCTGGCATCACTCTCCAGGCTAAACATCTGGAAACCAGTTGAGTCTCTAGGAATGTGTTGACTCCGGAGAACTACACTCCTTAACTTTAAATTCTGCTGCTGCTGCTCAGAGCCTTGAAATCAGAACATCCTTCTTCCCCTCCTCCCCTGTAGGTGTACCTAGTTAAATTTAGTTTGTAATAAAACAGTATGCAAAAGAAGAGGTTACTGTACATAAAATGACTCGCTCTACTCTGACTAGTTTTCAAGTTGCTGACTTTTCCCAGCAGGGGGTGTTGTGCAGTTCTAGCTCCTATGGAGTCTCACATGCTCATAATTACACATAGTGTAACTGGGAAAGTTAACATGTTAATGAAATATGCAGGCTGATTGCATGAGGACAAATATGTTGTCAAAAGGGAACTGATTTTGAATCTTCCCTTTATTAGAAATGACATTTTTTTTTTCTGTGCAAGTAGAGAAACTCTAGAAATTGTGCAACCTTTGAGTTCTCCAAGAAGTTTTCATTCGTCTGGAAGTTAAAAGGGAAGGTGGGGGCATTAAAAAATTTCAAGCTGTGGCACATTGCCTGTATCTTAAGTAGAATCAAGACCTGAACATCTCCCCCCCCCCCATTTCTCTGCCCTCCCCTATAAATTTCCAACTATATGTGAAGTTCTGGAGAATCTGAAAAATTGCACAGTATTTTTTCTCATTTTAGTTGGTCTTACTAGAAGGAATAAGATATGTTTTGTGACTGGACTTTGCTTTAAACCCTCATACCTACCTGCAGTATCTGTCTAGAAATTCTTTTTATTTTGAAATTTAGTTTGCTTTCTAAACATTCCACATCCAAGGCTGAATTCAATGTTTGAAGGAAAAATGGACCTTTTGCAGCTTAATATTTCATCATGAGGAGCTTGGACCTCTCTGTGCCAGAGAGCTGGGATCTGTTCTCAGACAAATACTTTGAGTTGAAATCACAAATATAACAATTTTCCTTTTCTATGATTTTTCCCATTAATGTCAACTTCACATTGTCTCATGTGTGGTTGATTGTAGTCCTGTCAATAGTGTTTGACTTACTATTTTAATTAACCCTATTTGAAGCAATCAGATCTCACTGTATTACCCAAAACACTGCCTTCATCTAGTTTGTGTTTATCCACCTTGTAAAGAATACAAGAATTACTGAGACTGTCAGCTGCAAAGCAGTTAAGTCAGTATTTTGGCAAGAGACCTGTTTTATAATCTGGCTAAACATCTTTTCTGGTGCAGTGTCACTAAATACTGCCACTGGTGTGGCTGCCTGCTAGGCTGATACACCACTATTGTTAGTGTTTGTATTTTAGGTGCAAGTGCATCTGGTTGAGTAGCTTGTTGGTCACCCTGTAAGCTAAATGTTGTTCATATCTGTGTAACTTTTCAGCCCAAAGTCGTCACTGATACTGATGAAACTGAGCTTGCAAGACAGCTGGAAAGGCTGGAGCGTGAAAATGCTGAAGTGGATGGAGATGATGATGCTGAGGAGATGGAGGCAAAAACTGAAGACTAACTGGCTTAGGAGGAACAGAGGGTGGCAAGTTATAGATGCCACCACACCAGTGAAGACACCTTGATTCGCAAAATGGCTGGTATGGAAAACTCCGAAAGAAATGACTTGGAAAACACTTTCAAGTTTTAATGAGACCAAATTTTGAAGAAATAAGAAATTATCTGCTGCAACTTGGGCTGACTTCCTTAAAAGCAAGGTGCCTTTCCTCTGAGGACTTAATACCCACTTCCAGATGAAGTATTGGGCTCAAGGCCTTGCTTAATATTTTCATATCTAACAACTCTTGATTGGCAATTCTTTAGTAAGTCTGTCACTGAAGATTCTGGGAATTGTCCCAGTATTCCTACACAGACTGTACTGAAGCAAATATTCAATAAATTCCTTGGATACTTAACTCTTTGTTGCTTTTCTTCCTTATTCCATGTTCTTAAGAGAGATGTGGAGCACAAAGGGAAGAGGAAAAAGGGAATAAGTTTTTGAAGATGAAAAGTTGATGAATCCTGCTGTGTCTTGATTATGTGCCCACAGTTAGTGCAGGCAACAGCAGAGATGATTGAAATACAGATGGTTAAGATTTGAGGGTAGAAAGAGTAAATTCATACTTTTACCTCTTGATTCTTGATGTTTTTAAAACTTAATATTAGAAGCTTTGGATGGAATTGAAGTGTTGATGCTAATCTATAGCAGACAAACCATAAGTGACTAATTCATTTTACAATGGGAGTTTTCTGAAGAATGCATCCCTCATAGGGAGGGTGATGCATCAGTGCCTGCCTGCTTCCTGCAAAAATGGCTCATCACAGTCCTGTCAAAACCCACCTCTTGCACAAGGTCTTCAATGTGTGTGATAATAACTGAGCAGCTGCTGTGCACACATAAACTCAGCCTAAGCTTACTCTTGTCTGTTCTGGCCACCTAGTGTTTCTTGCCTATAGGGATCACAAACATGTTAAGTCAAATAAGCTAGTAATTTTAAAATCTCTTTTAAACTAGAATTAGCTTTGTACATACACAAGTAGCTTATAGCTTGTGTTAACTGGAATGGCTACATAGTTGTGCTAACAGTATTTTCATTTCTGTCAGACTCCTGCAACAAGCAGAATCAACAACTTGGTTCTTTAGAAAAGAAGTTTATTGATCAGTATTGGCAGAACGTCACTACTTCAGAATCTGTGTTAAGACTGAGCTAAAAAGCATGGGGTAGATAGATAGATATACAGGGTTCAAAGGAGGGCACAAGGCGGCATAGAGCCAATCAGTGTAAAAGTGGGCCCGCCAGAATCTAACGGTCTTCAACAACCCCTCGTTCCCAGAGGATGATGTTACAGGCAGGAACCAAGGTCAAACAAATAAGCCATACAGATAAGGGAGCATCACCCAGGCAAGCAAGAAAACGAAAGTCACATTCCAAGGAATCCCTTCCCCTTCCACACCAGCCTTTATGGCAGTGAGCTGACAATTTCTACCACTGCAGGTTTAGGCCAGTTGTAATAAATTTATTGAGTAGTTTCAGATTAAAATACTGGCCAGTGTCAATCTTTGAGATTAGCTCTCATGTTTTAAAAAGATTGTATGACAGGAGGCACTTCCAAAACTGAAGAGGTCAGTAGCAGTGGAATGTTAGACTTGGTGACTTTTGACTATTTTAGGTTTTCTTTTAAAGTGCCTTAATCTTACAGGAAGCAAGCTGTTGCACATTTGTTCAGATAAACAAAGAATAAGAGGGGTCTGTGGACAGATGGATAGTTTACATAAACCAAAGTGGGAAGAGAACATCCAGCTATTTGGAAGGCAGGAAACAAGCTAAGAAGGAAATAATATAATAATAATAATAATCTTTCAATTTATTAATCGCTCAATCCTGCAGAGCTTGCTGGCTCTGAGCGATTTACAGTTACTCATTCACGCGGGACTAACAATGATTTATGGGGGTAAGGGAGGACAACATATATATCTTTTAAATCACACACATTCACAGTCGGCGAGGGTTTGTTCAGCTGCGGGTCAGGCGTGTTCCGTCGGCATATTCACTTTCGCTTGGCTAGATGATGTCAGCTTCTGCAGGTCTTGCAGTGCCGCACTGCCACCGCCTGGCCAGTACGGCCCATTACAGGCTTCTCGGAGTCGAAGAGATTTTTTCTTAGGCTTTCAATCTTGCGAGCTGAGCATTCCGGTCGCCAGCTAACACCTCCCCCACCAGTGGTGGGGGGGGGTTGGTGTGCTCACCCTCTCTAAGGAGTGGTACCCATTTTATCTACTCGCCGAAGCTTTTGAACCGCTGGGTGGATGGCGAGCTAGGGACAAGGCTGGTAGCTCACACCAGCACGGGGCTAGAACTGACAGCCGTACTGTTCAGCTAAGATGTTACTAACCAGAGGATAAATCCTCTGTGCCACCGCTCCCCTGGTTCTTTGCATGTGACACAGTAATCTAGATGATGTGAATTAATCGTTTAGTTATTTTTGATGCTGGAAGATAGTTGTACAATACTATGAGTTACAGAATTCTAGACATATCTGCAAAAAAAAAAAAAAAGATGCATGCATTTTGGGTACTCCCTGTGCTAAAATTACTGTCACCAATGTTTAGTGCCTTGGAGACACTGAATTTAATCTGTGGAAAGTTTACCAGTTTTCTTAAATGGACTGCACCTAATAACAAAGCTATAGTCACTTTTTAATTAATTAACTGCATAATAATGTGTTGATACTTAGTACATCAGAAGGGGAAATCGGCAAGCAATTAAAAAGTAATTAGTTTTTGCTATGCAAGGAAGTTGAGATTTTTACCTACAAGTACTAGTGTTGCATGGGCTGATGCTATTGAAGGAAACTCAATATCCTTTTGACATATTCTCTGTTCCTCATTGGGGCTCACATCTGACCTGGAGCATCTGCAGTGACACCTGGTGCAGTGTTCACTGTAATCAAAACCACTCGAACTGAAGTGAGAATGGTGTCCAATGTTTGCTGCATGGCAAACGAAGACATAAGTAGAATCTAGAAATTGGGCAATTTTCACTATTAGTCTTTCCTGCTCCAATTTCAAAGTGAAAGTTTTTGAGACAGAATGGACTGAATGCTTTTGGAACAATTCTACAACTGACGTGGTCCTTTCTGGGAATACTGTGCACCAGTTCCTCTGAGCAGTTCTAACAGAGTTGTGGTTTGTACTTTGTATAAGTTTAAGGCTTCATAATGGGTTACGTGTGTATGGGTTAAGCTCTGCCTGAGCTCTGCCTACTACTTCTATTTGAGAGGTAACTAGAGATGTCTTCCTTCTGACTTGACCCCCCTGTTTCTTTGGCGCTGTGACTGTCTGTGGTAGAGGCTGTGCAGGCAGTGGAGAAAAAATAAAGTAGTAGATGGGAATTTGCAATTGTGCATGTTTAGGATTCCAAAAGGGCTGCTGGCGGAGCAAACTGTAGAATGTACAGGTGTTCTAGTTTGTAAAAAAAGAAAGAGGGGAATGTATTTCAGAGAGTTAGAAAGGTGCAGCATGACTTGAATGAAAGTGGACACAGAAGCAGGCTGGAGTGGGTGGGGGTGGGCTGTGGTATGTAGAAGTCCTACACTAGAAATTTTGCAACAGCCTGGAGTGACCAACAAATTCTCCACGTGCAGTTAAGCTCCTTCCTATTGCTCCACCAAGATGAAGTAGTAATGGAAACCCTAATCCTCTATAAGGAAGGCCGAGCGCCAAAGACTAGATTTTTTGAACTATGGTGCTGGAGAAGACTCTTGAGAGTCCCTTGGACTGCAAGAAGATCAAATCAGTCAATCCTAAAAGAAATCAACCCTGACTGTTCCCTGGAAGGCCAGATAATGAAACTGAAGCTAAAATACTTTGGCCACCAAATTAGAAGGGAGCGGGGAAAGATTGAAGGTCAAAGAAGACGGGGACGGCAAAGGATGAGATGGTTAGACAGTGTCATCGATGCAACGAACATGAAGTTGAGCAAACTTCAGAGGACGGCGGAAGACCGGAAGGCCTGGTGGGAGCTGGTCCATGGGGTCGCAAAGAGTTGGACTCGACTGTGCGACTGAATGACAAAAAACCCTCTATAGATCCTAGGGTAGAAAATTGTCACTACTGCAAAAGTGTCCCTACTGATAACTATGGGAATCTGCTGCGAAGATTGAGAAGCACAAGACAGTTTGCAGCTGGTGTTTTGACTCCAAGGGAGTCTTCATGCATACCTATTAATAACATAACTTAACAGGATCTCAGACAACTTCTGACAGAATTCCCAGACAGGTAGGTGACTGCCAGCTCCCCCTCCCGCAATATGGGTGGTCTGTAGGACAAAAACTATTTTCAGCTGGCTCTGAAGAGATGTATAACAATATCTGTCTTCCCCACAAGACTAACATCATTGTCTAAGTTGAGTCTTGCATCCATGCAAGCTTCTACATGTGTGCTGTGGTTCGTGTTTACGTTTACCACTAAACTTGGAGTTGCTTATGATAAAAAAGTCAAGCTGTGCCAAAATTCAGAGCCCCAACAAGAGTCCAAACAAAATGGAGTCTTGTAGCACCTTAAGCATCAACAGATTCATTGTGGCATATGTTTGTGTGGAGATACAAACTCTTTAAGATGCTTTAGCTAGAATGAAATTTCACACTTTAAATGTGTATTTTTGCACGTTTTTCCATGGATACATTAATTTACATATTTTATGGTCCAATAAATTTCGGGAATACCTCTGAACATCCTTTTGTGTGTGTGTGCATGCACGCACATCTGAATCTATCAGCCAAAATCTGTTTTCAGTCTAACAGAGGCAATCCCCCCAAAGTGTAAAAGGCTTTTATGTTTTGTTAGTCTTTAAGGTGCTACTAGACTCTTGCTCTAACGAGCTCTAAAATATTCTGCATTTAAGCATATCTGTGTGATTATGCTTGGCAAAAAGGGGATATTCAACATTAAGGAAATTGAGTACTTAAGATGCTTTAAGCCATTTCTCTCGGATGTTATCTTGAAAGAGTATAATACCGTAGTTTTCTTTCCGAGTACAAGACAAAAAAATAATACAGTTGTCTGCCTGGAGAGTGGGTACAGATTTTTGCTTTATCCTCCTAGGCTGGTTTGTCCAAATTAGATATTAGAATAACTGGTGTTATAGTTATTAGCAAATTTGTAATTCATATAATGGTAACCTGTTACTATCCTGACCTGGATAGCCCAGACTAGCCTGTTCTTGTCAGATCTCAGAAGCTAAGCAGGGTCTGCCCTGGTTAGTATTTGGATAGGAGACCACCAAGGAAGACCAGGGCTGCTATGTAGAGGTAAGCAATGTTCATTTCTTTTCTTGAAACCCCCATGAGGGGTCTCCATAGGTTGGCTGCAACTTGACAGAACTTTCCACCACCACCAATCT